GGGCGAGATCTCCAGCTGCTTGTTTGAGGGTATGGGGAAGGATAAAGAAAAAATGGAAATATAATGATGTATAAAAGGGGGATTGGGAGGTCAGTACCTCCGATGGGCACAGACTATGATATTCTGAGCTAGCCACTATTTATTAGGCATACTCAAAACCGGAGGGAGTACTGAGTGATTTAGAGGGTAGTGATGATCCTATGCCGATGTAATCTTGTCTTGGAGTGTCACAGCATCACAGGACCTCCAGATGCTAGCTACCATTTATAATTTGTGGCCTCCAAAATGAGGGTTATAATTTTCTTGCTGCTGTTTTTATCAGAAGGTTTATGCGTAAATGGATGTATATGATTTTTGAGTACAGTGCAGAAAACTGTACTAGGTAATGTCCACTGGTGTAGCTAGCTATTTCTCATTCTTGGGACAAAATACCCAGCATCCACAAGTTAAAGGAATAAAGGTTTCTTTCATCTCATAGCTTGTAGAAGTTTCAGTCCATAGGCAGCTGGCTGCAATCCAGGGTGGCGTGGGAGAGGAGAAACAGTTCATACCAGGCCTGGGAGGAATTAGCAACAAGCAGCACAAGTAGCAAAGCAGCAGTACCAAAAAGCTCACTTTGGAACTGGGGAGATGGTAAGTGCAAGGGCCTGAGTTCAATCCCTGGTTCCGCCAAAAAGCTCACTTTCCCTTTTGTCCAACCAGTGGACCAGGTTAGCTATCTCACCTGTATCCCACATTCACACCTTTAATTCACATTCAAATATTCTAATTCAGCCCCTTAGGAAAAGCCCTACCTATAAGAATGTGAGGCTTTGAGAGGTCATCTAAATACAAGCCATAATAATTGATCTTCAATTTCCATTCCTCTCCACTTCTTTATCTTTATTATAGGTCCTGTTAGAATAAAAAGGGATATTACTGAGGCTCCTCTAGAAATAGGATTATAGATATGAGTTAAATTCTCTGAGTAAGACAAGCTTCCATGGTTTGAAAGAAGGGAGGTATAGTACATAATTTTCTGCAGTTGTGACAGCAAAGACCCACAGGTAAGAGCTCCAATGTGGATTAATAAGCTGACTTGTTAGTTATATGGGTACCATAGGTGTTGGGTAGCTACGGTATAGGTAGCCACAAAACAGTATTGTACTATCTTCCTCACATTGAATTACAAATAAAGGTGTGTAACCCTGGAGCCAAACATTCAGAAGAAATCTCTGAATTTCTACTCTAAGCATCCTTTGATTTTTTTTTTTAATATCTAAGTCTAGTTATTAAACACTTTTCTGCTTAAAAATAGAATTGATAGGGCTGGCCAAATAGTAGATTAAAGGTCTTGCAAGCAGGCACAAGGGCTGGGGGTTCAATTCCTGGCCTGCCATGCCAGCCCCGTCCCCAAGGCACGCTGAGATGGCATTTGAGACTGGGCGTGGTGGCGCGCACCTGTAATCCCAGATCTTGGGATGATGTAAACAAGTGGATCACTATGAGTCTGATCTAGTAGTGAGACCCTGAACACCCTGTAGACCCTTTCCTAAAAATACCAAAAAATAAAAAATAAAAAATAAATAGAATTGGTTATGTATTCTATACAACCTTCCTTAAATATAAGTATTTATGTACTTAACTACACACAACCTCTTTTGAAAAAGGACCAAGTTGTCCAGAACAAGTATCTTTCATGCACCTTATAGTGCTAATTTGGCAATCCAAAAACATGTATAATCCCTTGAGGAGATTATAACTATTTTGCAGAAAACATACGGCTGATTTTATCTCGCTGGAATTAATACTGTCAGAGATATTCTAGAGAAAATAGTGTCAATGAAGTTAAAAATTATCATGCTGAAATTTCTAAATTTTAAGAAAACCTACATGCTTCCATAGAAAAAAAGATGATCTACCAGTGAAGAGGAATTGTGCTCAAACAAAAAAGTCTCAACTAAGATTTTGTGACAGATTTATTGAGGCATAATGCACATTACATGAATTCATCCTTTCATGCTGTACAATCCAGTGATTTGATTGATTGATTGATTGATTGATTGATTGATTGATTTAAGGCCGTGTCGCACTATGCAGTTCAGGCTGGCCTTGAAGTCACTAGGTAGTCCAAGATGGCCTCCAACTCAGAGCAGTCCTACTGCCTCAGCCTCCCAAGTGCTAGGATTACAGGCGTGCACCACCATTTCCAGCTTGGTGGTTTTAATAAATACAAATACTATAGTTGTACAACCACCACCCCATCTCATTCCAGAGCATTACCATCTCTCCCTAGAGAAATTTGTACCATAAATAATTAACTCTCATGTCCCCTACTCTTAGCCCCTGACAATCACAAATCTACTTTTTTCTCTCTGCAAGTTTCTAGACATTTCAAATAAAAAAGAATGAAAACATGGACTCTATGTCTGTATTTCTAACTTGTGTCATTCAAGATTCATATATATCATAAGCTAGCATGGTACTTTAAAATTTTAGGGTGCATTTTTTGTAAACTAACATGATAATGTAAAAGTTACCCGTATTTGTTCTACATAGGAAAAAAGCGCAACTAAGGAATACTTTAATATTTGTTCTAATAGCTGTTTATTAGATAGATGTCTTAGACAAGCTCAGGTATTTCATCACGTTGCAGTTCATATGAATGACAGTCCTAGGACCGGTATTTCACAATGGGAATGTCCAAGGAAAGCAGAAGGGCATATAAACATCGAATGACATCATGGAATGACATCATGAAGTGCACAATCATGCATGTTAGACAGACAAATGAGCTAGAGACTCAAGGATTTATTTTGTCAATTCAAAAAGTAGAAAATTTTTCAAGTAAACTGCACAAATGATACCTTCTGCTCCTTAATCTTTCAGATCTCTAGAAATTCCTAAGTAAAGGCTCTAACAATTTTCTAAACTTACACAACTCAGGATTTTTAATTTATTAAAAGTATAACAGAAACGTGATAAGCAAATAAATGTATATTGCATACAATGATCATAAAGTGAGCACCTTTCTAAACCTCACGTGTCAACACTGAAGAAGTGAAGAAGTCACTGTTAACCTTGATCAATACTCTGATGGGATATGTTAATCATTATCCTTAGTCTATGTCTCATTTCACATGTTTATAAATAAATCATTTTCTATGTATTGTTTTGATTCTGGCTTCTTTGACTAGTATTTTTGTGGACTCATTTATTTGTGTATAGTTATTAGTACATTGGCATTGCAGAAGCAGGTGCTTCAGTGTACCACAATCTATATATTTATTTAATTTAGATTAGCATTTTAATTCTGTCTTACTTGTCTTTTTCTTTTTTTTATTGTTTTCTTACATAGTCTCTCTGTGCAGTTCAAACTCATAGTGATCTTCCTGTCCAGCCTCCTCCGTGCTGGGATTACAGGTGTGTGCCGCCATGCCCAGTTGAGGGGGATGGGCACAGTAAGCAGTACTGGGGATTGAATTTGGGACCTTACTCTTGCCAGGCAGGTGCTTAGACCACCAAGCTATCTCCCCAGCCTTAGTTACTTTTCTTGTTGCTAAGACAAAATACCCAACGCCCATTGAGCATGGTGATGCACACTGTAATCGCAGTACACATGGAAATTTCCTATCAAACAAAACAAATTAAAACAAAACACTGAACACGCAAAGTTAAAGGAGGAAAGGTTTATTGTAGCTCACAGTTTGCAGAGGTTCCATGTCACAATTGGCTGCTCTGAGACAGGGCTGAATGACAGAGAATCACAGAGGAAAAAAGTCTATAGCAAAGCAGAGCAGATTAAAGGAAACAGCAGCAAGAGGCAACAGCAGCAAGCAATATGCAGCGAGAGCAACAGCTCTCTTTCTGTTTCTTAAATATTTGTTTAAAAAATCTTTATTTTTTG